CGCGGCTGACCTTGGTGTGCGGTTTTAGGTATTCGTCAGCGGTATCAAACTGACAGTCCCATATAAGAGTCACTACATAGTTGTCATCATAAGACGGCATGGATGGTAGTTCTTTAGAGTTTGACTTAGTAAGCTTGGATTTCAGAGATGTTTTGGACTTAATCGATGATGCACTAGTGATGGAGGCACTGTTGAGGCTCTGGATTGATTTAATAAAACAGAGGGGGAGGGGAGTAGATCAATAATGAATCCCAAATGGAAGGTACATCAGACCAATTCGGATAATCGGCCAAGTGTACGGTTTCCAGCATGATAAGCGAATATCAGTATGAACCAGAAACATATGTTGTTCAAAAGGCTAGTCACGATGATTACTAACAACTTGCCCAGTATATCATACGACAGGGACGTGATCTTATAAGCAATTGAATTCGTGACACACATCAAATAGAGTCACATGCCTTGTAATGTATTGTCATTTGCCACAATGTACTACTCAGATGTCCAGTGTTAGTCTTTATTGCCAACAGACAGCTCGAACAAACACAAACTCCCACGCTATGAAGGAACCGAACTAGTGACTTCATATACCCGCTGACTAATATAGTTACCTTACGTACTATTACCGACAATGATGCACTTACCTGAGCTGATGCAGGTACGGGGGTGTTGTTATCGCTCATCTTTGCAGGCTTCTGAACAGTTACAGGTGCGGTCACACTGGGGGCTGATAGAGACACCGATGACATCCCCCTGCGGATACATATACAGGAGCTATTAGTCGGGTGCTTAAAAACACGTGCGACAGTATGCTGAAAAGTGGGAGTGCCCATCTAGATTTCATTCCACAGAGTTGAATAGGCATGGCAAATAAAATCACTTTTGCGTTCTTACCCGGTGTCAAAAAAGGTATCGATGTCAAAAGCTCTTACAACTGCTTCAGACAATATAGTAGAAGTTAACGAGCACAGAACTTGTTTGCAATATATAGGAAAAAGCAAACAATAGGTATGGAGTGAATTTTTGAACGTGAATTCCATACTGTTATATGTGAAATTGTACAGGGTTATATGCATACGCTAAGAAATCTTAAACAGAGATATATATATAGCTACAATATCTAAATATACATACATACAAACATACACACACACACACAAACATACATACATACATACCTACACACACAAACATACACACACATACGCACACACACACTCAAACTTACACACACACATACACACATACACACTCACACACACTCTCTCTCACACACACATACACAAACACATTATATATATATATATATATATATTTACATATTAATGCATATATATATATATATATATATATACCAATGATATATATCAACAATATATCAATATCAATGTATATATATATATATATATATCTACATGCATAGATACACACCCACACCCACACCCACATCCTTAAGATCAAAATAGCACCTAGTCTCAATGTTCATCTTCCCTGCTCATATATTCTACCTTATTGTCACATTAACACAAGTTCGCATATAAGATCTAGCACAGCTGTTAAACGTCTAGATAATCGTAATGAAGTTGTACTGATGACTTTTACTTATACGAATCGCACAACCACGCCTCTGGTACATTAACGGCTTGTTTCTCACCTCGACGACTATACTATGAGTCCGTTTTGAATCGCGAACGATATGACAATGTCTTCCTCACTGAAACTTTCGGTGAGGAAAGATTAATTAATATACTGTAAGCATAGGAATGTAATCATTAATGCTAAGGTAAGTATCGTACGGTATTAAGGTCTACGCTGATGTTATTGTTATTAGCCGTTATCGGTAATGACGCGCAAATATGAGCCATGACAACTATTTATTTAGCCAAATTGAGAATAGTTTCAAAAAAAGTAAAAATGCTCTCTGTGTAGTGTTACGTATGAGTGAAAATATCAGGGGGGTTGATGAACCAATCAAGTGCAACTCAAAAAAGGTGTTCATTGTTTTGATGACGTAGCAAAAGCGTCAGCCTGTGGACAAACTTACAAAGCAGTATTTACAAATAAATATAGCCTTCTGAAATCGAACACCGGTTGCGACTATGTAACTCGTTTCATAACGCACATCCCAATTGTCACGCACAGATGAATATCAGAGCAGAATATAGTACGACGTTAGAGTTTGCTCAGCATTGTCTAATAGTATATACCAAACCCGCACTTGTTCGTCACGCCACTGAGATTCTTATCTACTGAAGTTCAAGGTCATAGTCGCAATTTATAATTTAAGTAATGTCGGGTCTCAGGAAACAGATGTTCTCCCAAGGAGACAAGGACTTCGCTATTCCTGCCTCCAGGTAAAGGGAATTGTATTGTATGGCTTCGTTCGCTGTGTCTCTTATATTCTTCGTTGTTGGTTTTGCCAAAAATTCGGGTTACTCATTTGGTAGACATTTTAGATATCGGAACCCACACACACACACACACACACACACACACACACACACACACACACACACACACACACACACACACACACACACACACACACACACACACACACACAC